GCACAAGTTTCTAAATTGGGGCAGGAATAATTAACTGCATGTTGCAAAACAAAGAAATCATCGTGTTGAGGATTATAATCAGGCACGTACACCCCAGCACAGCCAAAACCCGCTAATTGCCCTGGAACTGATTAGCAGCTCCGTTACCATGCCCCGTTCTGACCATCACACTCCTGGGCAGTGAAGAAGGACCGAGGGAAGAGAAACAACACGCAGTGACAGAGGGGTTATGAGAAACGGTGTAAGAACCTGAGATCCAGCCTTGAGAACGCTGAAGAGGACCAGGAACAGACAAGTACCCAAAAGCCTCCTCCAAGAACATAAAAGAAATTACAATATCTGGTGAATTGCTGTGAGACTGAGAACAAACACCGGGAAAATCCTGCCCGGGACGATGCTCCAAGGAGCAGAACGAGCTGCTCTGGGGGGTTCTGGCATCTCTGTCACCTCAGTTACGGGTTGGACATGTCTGACCCTGATTTTTCATTATAATTACCCTATTTTAAGAACAGACTCGATGAAATCCTTTCCATTATCACTCGTCTCTTACAGCATCTCAGTACTTCAAGAACATTAACTTATTAATTTTTAAGGTAGCTTAAAAGACAAGCCTCCACTTCACAGGCAGAAGCCAAGAAAGAAAATAATATCTGAGTATCTGCTAATTTGAAGGTTCACCCTGTGTTTTGTCATTACTTCACTTTTACATAATGAGCTGTATTTCAAAAACACCGAGCACTGAAACCCGTGGATCCCACGAGGTCAGAGGACAAGTTAAGGTGTTACCAGGAAATAGAAACCACCTTGGAAAAGCCTGATTTAACCTAATTATTGATGATAAGAGGAGAGGGGGGGAATTTGGGTTCCATTTCAATCTCTTAAAAGAAACATCATCCCGAACACCAAATATTTCTATACCTGTTATTAAACCATAACAACAACATGTACATATGGAATCAGCTCTTTCAGTGGCCTCTACAAGAACTAATGTGCCACCTAAGTCAGAAAAATCACTTCCCTGCTGAAAGTCAAGATCACATTCCACCGCACGGAGACGTCACAGTGTTCTTTAAAAAGAGTCAGTACTAGTGTTTTCTTCTCAGGTCTGAGAAAACGCTTCTCAATTTTGTTAAAATTTACAGCCCCAGGCACCAAATATCAAAAACTTTTGTTCAAATGGCTCAATAGCTGTTGAAGTCAGAAAAAAAAAGAGAGAAGAGCATTATAATAAGTATTCTGCAATCTTAATGTCAGACAACGGCACAAGCCATTGAATGAGCTGAATTTAAAGACTCAGCAGAAAAAAGAGCATTAAACATGAACGTGAAGAAAGGGCTTATCTGCAGGAACAATTTAGAAAAATAGAATATTCGTCAAATGAAAGGAGGCACTTCAGTTTTGAGCAAGAGGATGCTTTGAACAAAGAGTAACCACACCAGCCTGCAGCTTAGCATGATGCTGCGCGGCTTCACTGCGAGTTGGGCATCAGGAGATCCAGAAAGGGCTTGTAAAGGAGGAGAATTCCCTGGAAATATGGCTTCTGTAGGGCTGTCCTCAGAAAGCGACTCCCACCTTACCCCCAGCAGTGCCCTGCATGGGCAAAGCTCCTTCCTCAGCACTAGCCCTGGCAGGACAGGGAGGCCTCACAGACACGGGTGGCACCAAAGGACACCTTTTGTTTCAGGGCACCTTTCGTTTCAGGACACCTTTCCCAATCCTCATCCCAATAAGGATTCTTTTCCATTTGGCAGCCAAGCATCAGGTGACAGACAACAGCATCCCCAATGTTCACGGAATCACAGAATCTTCATGGCTGGAAGGGAACTTTGACATCATGGAGTCCAACCACAAAAAACAAACCAAAGAAACAAAAAAACCACCACACCCACCCACAAACAGACACAAACCAACAATCCCGGGCACTAGAGCATGCCCTGAAGAGCCACGTCTTAAATCCCCCCAGGGATGGAGACTCCACCACCTCCCTGGGCAGGCTGTTCCAGGGCCTGACCACCCTCTCAGGAAAGTCATTCTTCCTAATATCTCATCTAAACCTACCCTGCCCCAACTTCAGACCATTTCCTCTGCTCCTGTCATTATTCCCTTGGAAGAGGCCAACCCCCACCTCTCTACAGTCTCCTTTCAGGTAGTTCTGGAGGGCAATGAGGTCTCCCCTCAGCCTCCTCTTCTCCAAACTAAACATGCCCAGTTCCCTCAGCCTCTCCTCGTATTGCTAAGGAATCTCCAGCAAACTGCAGCCACAAGCAATCGGCTTAAACTGATGAAGGTCCCACTGTGCTTCCAAAGTGACCTTCCCCCACTGCCCACTGTGTCCTCCTGCCACCCGGGCATCACGCAGAGATGGCACATCAGGCCGGCCCCGAAACGATTGACCTCAACGCTGACCCCAGACATTGATTTTTATTAGTAGTATTTTTTGCTTCTAGCTGTGTTAGCTCCTGGCAGAGCCGTGCAAGGCCAAGGCTGGGGCAGCAGAGGTGGCAGGTACGTGTGTGGGAAAAGCAAACTGTCCCTGCCCAGGGCAGCAGGGGATGCAGCAGAGTTTAATGACCAGCTGAAGCTGATCTCAGATTTCTTTTCTTGGATAAACCAAAGATTGTAGCAGCAGAGTCGTATTTACACCCTCGGATGATATGGTTTAACTAACATTGATTTATATGCCCCAACCCCAGAACATTCCGTGGAAGTTAGATAAACCACACACAAATTGCAAGCGATTTCTGCAGGGTCTGTACAGCCTCTGTGCACTTACGGGACAGAAATATTTATTGCATTTGGCATGGAAGCTGCAGTCTGGGAGCACCAGGCAGAAACCAGAACCGGGTGAGCACTGGAGCACCAGAGAGCAAGAAATTCTTTCTTTTCCTTTCCCAATAAATTATACACAAAGGTGAAGAGCTGTCACCCTGACATTTCAAATCTGAAATATAGTTAAGAGCAAGTTATAACTAAGGCAAAGAAAATGAATGTCAGAAAGTTTTGTTTTTTCAAATTTCAGATAAGCTCTTTCGCCCTAGGGTTAATGAGAGCTGCAGAGCTCTGCCTGGAGTCCAACCTCGCACCAGAAAAATGTTTCTTTGTGTAGTATGTGTGTAAACACGCACAAGTAAGGCTATATGTATTTATATAAATAATATGGCACACCTTTAATTCATTGCCCAGGGTAATCCAAATACTAGTGGTCCTTCAGAGAACCTTTCTCTTCCTGTATTAAGCAACACCAATTAGTGAGAGCAACCACCTGAGCAGCACACACCCTGCCACGCGGCTCCCTGGCCCCAGCCTGCCCTCAGCCAGGTCCCGACCTTCTCCAGAGGAACCCGATGGATGTGATGGACACACAGGTCCTCCACAGCCATGCCATCATCACCAGAGAGCCTGGCTGTCGGGTTAATTCAGCTAATGGTAACACGGAGGGAATGTATGACATGATTGCTCACCCAGCCTGGGAAGTCAAAAGGGTGAAGCCACAGCAAAATGGAAACGAGCTCTAATTATCTCCAGTCTGTGAATAGATTTCTCATCACAGCCCAGTGACACCGAGGAGAACTCCCAAAGTCTAAATCTTTTACCATCACAGATGGTCGCGGCTAAGGGCTCTGCGCTGCAGCCATGAATATATACAAGAGTTGCTTCAAAAGGTAAAAATATTTCAATTATGGGATGTCGGCAGCTCGGCTGAACTGGGCACAGCAGAGCGTCCAGGTAAAAGCTTCTCTTTCCACAGCCAACACCATTTCTCTCATCTCCTCTCTCTGCAAAGCAGTGAAATATTTAACCAACTCAAGCAGTTGATGTTCTCGGGCAGGGAAGGCACAACTCGCTCGCAGCCACAAAAGCCAAGAGACCCAAGATCAGCCCCCAAAGGCCCCGGCTCTCGGATCGATACGGAGTGAAAAGGCAGCAGAGAGTGTGTGCTAACTGGGTTTAGCCTACAGGGCTTCTTCAGTGTTTCTCCATAAGTGGTCAAACCACTCAGATAAGACCCAACCACACCTCATGGGGAAGTTTAACATCAATTCCACAAGCCCTGGGAAGGGCCACACTTCACCCCGCCGCACACAAACAGGATGTGTCTTCTGCTGAAAATCTGTTTTGTAATCACAATCTTGATTGCTTCACTGGTGGGGAGAGGGAAGGGGGATCAAGAAATATAAACATACACAGAAATTATACAGCTATGGATTCCAAGTTTAAATATGAACCCACAGGGATCATATTTAGAGAACGAGGACCAGCTATAACATCCCCAGCCACTTTATGTGACAAAATAAGACACCTGCAGCTGCACACTGCTTGCGAAAAATTAAAACCAGAACCATTTATCCGCCTGCCAGCACATGTTTACAAAGTAATGGGACTGCCTTTCCTTCCCCCGGCCCCAAAAAGAGAGTTATGTTTAGTATCTGTGCTTTTATTTCACAAACCCCAAGACGTGCCACAGCCTGTGCATCCCCTCCACCGCTTCACCTCCGACCGAGCACAGGTCACACCAGACACCGCGTTCATTGGGTTAATGCCACGAGAGGGACATCGGTCTGTAGCACAACTGCCAGGACAACAGATATTTAATATATAAGGCAGAATCATCAAGAAAGGGTTTCCCTTGACCTATATCGACAGCCCATTGCCCACGAGTCAGGAACAGGAGCATCCGATCTCACGAATAATATGAATAAATGAAGCATTCAAAAGAATCGGGAGTGTTTGAGCTCCAAGAGCAAAGCACCCAGTTAAACCGTGTATCTCACTCGTTCAGACATTTCACGTTGAGTATTCCTGTTGTTTCTCTGTCCCTCTCTCTCACCAAGAGTACAAAATACTCAGGAGCAAGGGAAGAACAGGCCGTGTCAGTCTCTCAGATCCCCGAGCAGCTGCCGTGTCCCTGCACCCTAAGGGTGTGAGTTGACACCCAGGCTCTACAAACAGCCACGTGCCCGTATCCCGTACCCCGGCCATGCTGCTCCCATCACACTCACCCATCTGCTCCACAATTTCAGGTGGGAAAACTCGAGAAGCAAAAGCTCGTCGGAAAATATCTGAGAATTCTTTGTCAAGGCCCCCGATGCCCATTTTCTCAAAGTTCCAGTCGGGGTTGATGATGGACTGGCGGTTCTCCTTGGTCTTGGATTTACCTGCAAAAAACAAGAAATCATGTCAAACTTGCAGAATGAAAAGGGAACAGAAGTAACAACAGCAGAATGGTTCTGCCAGGTCAGACCCACGTCCAGCCAACTCCGTGTTGGGTTCAGCTCAGGCAGGAGGAGGCACCATGACAGGGCCAGGAGGGCAGTCACAGACTCTATTTTTTAGCAAACTATTTTCCCAGCCTCCCAAACACCCAGTCCAGGGATTTCTCAGGCCAGGGGTTGCTTTTGTGTATTGAAGAATACGCAGTAGATTTTTCTCTGCCACAAATTTACTTGGGTCCCCTCGGACCCAGAGCTCCCTCCAGCACCCAGCTCACCCCTCTGCCACCGGCCACACGACCACAGGCCTTCCCTGTCCCGAGCCACCTCCTGCCTCCCTTCGTGTCCCCAGCGCCTATCGCTGAGAGACAGCAAAGAGTGTCAGTGTCCCCTCTCTCCCAGGCCACCTGGGGTGACGTTAGGCTTGTCCTGTGTCCTCAGCCCTGCCTCTCCAGGCAGAGCAGCTCTCCCTTGTTCTTCCCCCCTCCGGCAGCAGCTCCCTCCAGCATCCCTCGTGCTCACAGAACCTTTCTCCTTCTCAGTCCTCTCTGTTTTACTACACCCTTCCACAGCCAGCCAGGCTACTGTGGGGTTTGGTCATATCTTAAACACAGGTACAAAATAACGCTCTGCTTCAGTCATATTCCTTTATTAATGTGTAATAATTCTTAACCAACCCAAGAGGCCAATGGGATCCTGGGCTGCGGAGGGAAGAGTGTGGCCAGGAGGTGGAGGGAGGTCATTCTCCCCCTCTGCTCTGCACTGGGGAGGCCACAACTGGAATCCTGTAGCCAGTGCTGGGCTCCCCAGTTCAAGAGAGACAGGGAACTGCTGGAGAGAGTCCAGCGTAGGGCAACAGAGATGATGGAGGGATTGGAACATCTCCCTGATGAGGAAAGGCTGAGAGAGCTGGGGCTCTTCACCCTGGAGAAAAGAAGGCTGAGGGGAGACCTTCTTCATGCTTCCAAGGATCTCAAGGGTGGGTGGAAGGAGGATGGAGCCGGACTCTTCTCAGGGGTTCCCAGGGACAGGACGAGGGGCAACGGGCACAAGCTGGACCATGGGAAGTTCCACTCCAATCTGAGGAAGAACTTCTTTGTGGTGAGGGTGGCAAAGCCCTGGCAGAGGCTGCCCAGGGAGGGTGTGGAGTCCCCTTCTCTGGAGATCTTCAAGCCCCACCTGGATGCTCCTGAGTGATGTGCTCTGGGCAGCCCTGCTTTGGCAGGGGAGGTGGACTGGAGGAGCTCTGGATGGGTCCTTCCAACTCCAACAATTCCCTGATTCCGTGATTAACAACCCTGCACAGGGCTCAGGCTGCTACTGAGCACGGGTCCAGCATTTCCTTAATCTGGCCCAAAACACCAACCACTTTTGACCAAAGTAAAAGTGTTCTTCCTCCCATGCATCACTTTATGTTTACTTATATTGAATTTCCTCTGCCATTATACTTTAGTCACCAAGCTCCATAAGAGCCAGCTTTGTCACCTCAATTTTTTTCCAGTTTATTCAATAATCATAATGAAAAGTAAAGGCCCCAGCAGAGATTCCTGCTGGGCTCCACTGGCTATTTACTTCCATCCTTTCATCACTCATCTGCTCAAACAAGGACCTTCTCTCTTACAGAGCTCTGTTTAGTTTCTTTGCAAAGAAGCTTTGCTGAGGAATTTTGCTGGAGGAGCTCTGAACAAGCAGCAGATATTCCAGCCCCTGTCCCCTGCTTGTTGGTTCCTGTGATGAACTCCAGCAGGACCACAAGCAGGAGCTGCCAGTACAGAGGACAGGCTGACCCTTCCCACTGTCATCTCCAGACAGGGACCCATTCACTTGATCCTTTAGTACAGTTTCTGTGGATTTTTTCTGTACAGATTCCAGGTTAAAGACCTGCAGCTTCTCCAGCCGTTCTCCAGAATCCCTTTCAAACCAGACAGCACATTCACCATCTCCAGTCCTCAGACACCAGAGCAATTTTAACGGGTTACACAGAACAGTTCAGAGGTCAGCTAGTTCCTCTACTGCCCAGGAGAACAAACATCAGCCTTGGCCAACCACCACCATTCACTGGGTCTGTTTGTTCCACAACCTCTTCTAGAGCTACTTCAGGCTCAGGCAGAGCCCCCAGGCACAGGTTTCACTGTCTCCGTGCGATGGTGGAACCGCTCTCCTCTCCCTTCTGCTGACAAACCACACGAGTTTCAGTCTTACAGAGCTCCTCACTGCCTGTTCAGAGAGGCTTTAAAGTTCTCAGGGCTTTTAGGAGGGAGGCAATAAGCACAAGGCTCCTGTAAGGACACTGCTGAGATGTGTCAGACCCACACGCTCTCACCTGAGCTTTATTTGGGGGTATTTACAGACGGACACTGACATCTTACTGCTTAGACTGATGCTTCCAAAAGGCTCTCAACAACGTGGCTTTGCTCGGCTCCCAGAGAAACCAGCAGCCATACACAAACCCGGGGAGAGAGCAAAGACTGAAGATTATCCTTAATTCATGCAGAAACTGGATGCCCTATATTTTCTTAGAGTGGGCCCTGGGGACCAATTTAACCCCCCTAAAAAGCCAGTCCCGGCAAACTGCAACTGGGCGCTTTGCTGATTTAGAATGGTTGGGGTTGGAAGGGACCTTAAAGATCATCAGTTCCAACCCCCCTGCCCTGGGCAGGGACACCTCCCACCAGAGCAGGTTGCTCCAAGCCCCCTCCAACCTGCCCTTGAACCCCTCCAGGGATGGGGCAGCCACAGCTTCTCTGGCCAACCTGGGCCAGGCTCTCACCACCCTCACACCAAACAAGTTCTTTCTAGTATCTAACCTAAATCTTCTCTCTTTCAATTTAAAACCATTACCCCTTGTTCTATTGCTACACATTGGTTCCATAACCTCTTCTAGAGATATTTCAAGTCGAGCTGGACAAGGAGTTGGCATCTAGGAGCCCAGTAAATGCACTACACACAAGTTCAGTGGTAGCTGAGCGAGGCTGCTGTTCATCCTGCTCTGGGCACAGCTGGAATCAACACTTCTACTCCTATTCCAGTAAAAAGACCCCAAACAAGAACACCCCTCTAACAGCCAGGGTAGGGACGGGGTGGCAGAAGGTGCAAGGTATGGACTGGCACAAGGGGCAGGGCAGCGGGAGCAGTGAATTCCCGGATCCCAGATCCCGGATCATCCCGGCCCCAGCCGGGCTCTGATCAGCAGCGCTGAGCCAACACCGCCCCCTTCTGGCTGCACCACAACTAAACTCGGCCAGATTGAATCAACCACCTTCCATCGGGGCTGCAGCACATCATTTTATGCTGAGGAGAAGAAATAGAATTGGCCTTTTTTCTTTTTTTTTCAATGACCACAATCCTTTCCTATCGAAAAAATTAAAGGCCCTTCACTGCAGGCAGTGCTCAGTGACACTTACTTTACTTTTATCTCCTCTCTCAGAATTTAATTATTCACAACTTCCCCATTCTCCAGAGACTACCGAAGCACATGAAGCAGCTCTGCCTCGGATCGATGAGGAGATTAAATCAAGCACCAGTCTGACGGCAGTAAACTGAGGCACAAGCAGCTCTGGTGTCTTGTCCACAGGTAATGAAATGGAGCTACGGTGCAAGATTCCTGCTTTCCCCCCAAGACCACCCTTCACACCCCCGTGCCAGGGGAGAGCACAGGTCCTTACATGGCTTTGAATATTAAGAAGGTAAAACACCACTGCCTGCTCTGATGCAGCAAATTGGATTATGTTAATGCTCACCTCCAGCTGTCCCGTCAAAGCACACTAAAAACTAAACAGGCTGTAATCATGTAATCACAGGTAGGAACTAATTGCCCATGCAAATTTTATTCGCTGCTCTTAAATCCTGTATCTTTGTTAACATGCTTAATTACAGTCATCTCCAGCTCAGCCCACAGACCCCTCTGGGGTTCTCTCAGCACCGATGCCTGGCTGAGCTCTCAGAGGAACACGTCCTCAGAAGACAGGAGGTGTGGGGTCACACAACAGCCCCCCGTCTCCCTGGTTTTGGGGTGACTGCAGCACACAAAACAGCCAACTACACAACAGGGAACTCACGGCCTCGCGTCCGAGGGAAGACACTTCAGGGCAGTGTCAGAGCTCAGCCTCTGCCACGAGCTCCTGCAACGCTGGATGAGTTCAATCCTACCTTCCCAAGTGGCTACTCCCTCCTCTGGTTTGTTTCTGTACCAAATACTCACAGCACGGAGCGCTCACAGGCAGGCAGAGCTGTGCCTTGAAGCCTACTGCAAAAATAAGAAGTATTAAAGCTCAGCTGAGCACTCACGGATGCTCATCTGAGCTGTGGGGTCACAGCAGCCTCCACCAGACACTCCTGAGCTGTGCAGCAACAGCTGGCTTAGCTCATGGACCCAGGAAGAATTAAAAATAGGGAAGGAAAAGAAGAAAAAAGAAAAAATGAGAGTGTCTGTTCAAGCCCAGGACTTGAATCACACCCAGAAAATAAAGTTTTGAGGTTTTAGAAGCTTTCCATTTTTTTAAAGAAGTTCACAGGTTTTTTAACCAGAAAATAAAGTTTTGAGGTTTTAGAAGCCTTCCATTTTTTAAAAAAAGTTTTGTTAGTAATCTTGTTGTGTAAACAGTTAAACACACACAAGAACCCCCTGCTGTGTTTTGCTGCTGCCACCAGCTCCTAAAGAGCAGGACTTCCAGAAGTCAGGAAAAGGGCAGTGCTCTCAGACACCATGCTCTCTCCTTGGAGACCAGATCTCATCAGGGATGGGACAGTCAGAAGTTCTGCACTTGCTTTGAAATTCTGGCCACACATTCAAAAAAGTTCTCAATTTCTTATTTCCCTGCTGTTTTAATTAAATTCAATTAAAGAGGTGTTGGCTTATTAATGTCCCTTATTAATGTCCCTGAAAATATCAAGAGTTAAAATCTTTTAACTAGTTGCTGACTTTTGTTTACTGTTCCATGGTGGCCCCTAATCCAGGCCCAGGAGTCTGTAGCACTTAGGACAACTTGTCTGCTCATCTAACTCCATTTGCTACTGTCACAATCTCTCCAAGTCACACTCACCTCTTCTCCTCCTGCCTCTGTGTGTGGGTATTTTAGACACACTGTGGTAATGAGCACAGTGCAGAGACCCACAGAACCGCTGGTACGTCAGTGGGTTGTGGGGCTTCACATGAGGAGGGCAGGAACCCCTACAGAGCCCATCTGCTGAGGGACGGTGTCTGCGTGGAGCGGTGAGCTTCAGGAGAGTGCTGGGCACCTACAGACTGCTTCCTAAAGGGTGTGACAGGTTCCTAAGGGACCAAATCCAGTCACCTGCTGGTTTAAAAACACCTGGGAGACGTTCTGAGATGCGGTTTTCAACGGATCAGGTCAAGTGATGTAACCAGAAAAACAAACCCTGAGACACACAAGTCTCAAAGGCCCAAACAGCAGCAAACTTCAGGCAGGGTTTCTCTCTTTGGATGCAGTGGCACTCACCGATCAGATTGAGAGAGGAGTTCTCTGCTTTTTCAAAGGCAACCTGACTGTTTCCAAGAACCAAACCAACCTCGATCTGCAAAAGGGAAGGAAACAAATTATTACATTAAGCCGTTTTGGCTCAACCTCAGATTGCTCCTTTGGTATCTCCCCAAGCCCATCTCAGAGGGCAAGAAGCAGCAGCAAAAGCTCCACTACCAAAGTCATTGGGAAGTATATGAAATATCAACACCTCCTCTAAAAATAACATCATTGAATGCAGAAGCTCATCAGGTGTAAGAAGTTGGCTTTTTAAAGTTATTTGTTTAGTTCCAAACCAACTATTCGATTTCAGTAAGATCTAGCAAGAAGAAAATAAAATCATGTTCTTTCTATAGAAGGAAAAAAATCCAAACTGGACATATCTGCAAGACAAAAATGCTCAAAAGTGGATTTTTCCATTAATTAGTACATAAAGGCCAAGAAATATTCCCTGTATCTTCTCCAGCTCTGCACCTCAGTGGTTGCAGCCCCAAGCTCCCAGCTACACAAGCACAGGAGAAGGCATTAAACTGAAAACAACGCTCCTGATCTTCTCTGAGGCGAAAGATGCAGCCAGATGGAATAGATGTGCAACTTCTCCAAACACAAGGAACCCAAACTCCTCCTCACAGTGAGATCCAGTCAGTACCTGAGTCTCTGTGGTCCCCAGGGAAGGAGCGTGAGCTCCTGCCAGCCTACCTTCTGCTTCTTGCTCGCTCCAGACTCTCCTTTGAGGATGCTGGGGTCCATCGCTTCCATGTCCTTCACCAACAGGCCAAAAAGCTTGTCATTAAAGCTGAACACAAGCTGTGGCAAACAAAAAGGGAAGGGGATTTTAATTCATTAAAAGGCTAAAAGGGATTTTGACAAAGCTACCAAAGAGAAGAGAAAGAGGCCTGAAGACTAAGTTTACCACCCAACGAATTCCACATAGTTTTTACCCTGTAAAGGTCTGTTGTACTGAACGTGCCCTTTTCATGAGGAGTAACAGATTAAAAGTAGCAGAACATGAAGTGGAAAAATTCAAAGAAAAATTCTCCTTCCAAGAAAACCTTCTCTTCCCCCCACTTTTTTCCCCAGCTAAATGTTCTGTATCACCCTCTCGACATTTTCCTCCCACTTTAATATTGGTGCTAGGCAAGGAGAACAATTTTGCTCAAATCTGTTTGTTCTTTCACATTCCAGTTTTACAAGGACACCTCAAAAATAGTGCCAGGGTAATGAGAGACAGAATGGATATGACAAGAAGCAGGGTCGATCCCAGAGAACAGTAGGCTGTGTCTGCACAAGTCCTTTCCTCCAGGATTACGTTGGCAACTGAGTTCAGATTCAGACCCTGCAAGTTGTAAACTACTGTGAGAGAGACCTCGACCTGTCCTGAGAATATGGCAAACCAGAGGCTACCACTGGTGTCCACGGGGGCAGGAGCCCATCTGACACAGAGCTGAGCAGCTCAGTTACAGGGACAGCAGCTTTCAGAGATCCCCAAATCAAACCTTTCAGACCTACTTTACTACTGCAGTCTGTAGAGCAGCAATAGGTGTTACAATAAAACACACCACACTCGAACGGCGCTGCTGAGAATTAATTAAAGCTGGTGTTCACTTTCATCTTATACAGAAGATAAAAGTTACTTCTCTAAATATTCCAGAGGCTGCCATGCTCATATCCAACCACGCCAGAGGAGAGACCCCAGCTCTCCCAAGCCTCGGGGTTTTCCTCACAAAGAAAGATTTCTTTAGGTAAGGACAAGGCAGAGCTCGTGCTCTCAGTTAAAGTCCTGACGGCTCAACTCTTCATCGAGAAACCACTGACACAACAAGCAGTTTCTGCCCGTGAGCTGACCCTCGCAGCACAGAGCCAGCACCTTGGTGTCCTTCGGCACTTTACATCACTGTGCATATTATTTAACAACTTATCTTTAAAAGACCAAACCAAACCCCCTACCTGCTGGCCCACGGAGAAGGCCTGGCTGTTGAACTGCTGGATGAACTCCGCAGCCATCTTGTCCGTGTCGTAGGGGTTGGAGTCAATGTTCTTCTTCTGCAGAAAGTCTATCTCAATCGTCATTGTGCCGATGCACTGCTTGGCCTTGTCAAAAGTGTATAAGGAAACTGTTAAAAAAAGAAGAGAAACAGCACGTTTCAGAACAGCAAGGTCTTCCCACGATACATTAAACATCCTGTAGGTTTAGCAATACACGTTCTTCCATTCAGAATGGGTTCTTAATAAAATTGAATATATTATTTCTGACAGAGACCCTTATTTTTCTGACTTTCACGTTCCACTGCAAGATCAAAAATACAGCAAATGTATCTCCACTGAAAACCTCCGCATTTCTTTAAAACGTCAAATAGTCTCCCTTAAGACAGCTCAACCACCATACGAGCTCTGGGGGATGAGGACAACGACAGTGAACTCACACACACTGTAGCACCACAACAGCTGCATCTACGTCTAAGGGTTTGGAGGACGTGTCCTCAGAAAGCCCAAAAAGGAAGCACTAAGATTGGTCTTGCCCAAAAGAGCAATGACGACAGGTCATAACTGGTTTTAGAATCATAGAATCATAGAATCATTGAGGTTGGAAGAGACCCTTGGGATCATCGAGTCCAACCATCTCCCCTACTCTACAAAGTCCTCCCCTACACCATGTCCCTCAGCACTGCATCTAAACGGCCCTTAAACACAGCCAGGGATGGGGACTCAACCACCTCCCTGGGCAGCCTGTTCCAATGCCCGACCACTCTTTCGGTGAAAAATTCCTAATGTTCAGTCTAAACTGTTGCAACAGATTGACTAGCTCTTCTCCAGGTTCACAGAACCATAGGATCATCCAGGTTGGAAGGGACCTTTCGGATCATCAAGTCCAACCATCAACCCAACACTGCCCAAACCACCACTAACCCATGTCCCTCAGCACCACGTCTGCCCAGCTTTTAAATACCTCCAGGGATGGTGACTCCACCACCTGCCTGGGCAGCTTGTTACCTGCATGTTCACTGCAGTGGTGTCATCTATCAGGCTTCTACAGCCCAGAACAGAGCATCAACTGCCCCTCGGGTCTGACACAGAGGAAACAGCCCCTACCCCAGGGCAGATGGGCCCACCTTAACATGTCCCAGGTTACCTTCAGTAATGCAGAATCAACTGAACGGCTCCTGAAAGGGGGCAGAAAGCAAAGTGGCATAGAAGGTACTTCATGGTCATCGTCAACCGCACCTAATCCCCACAGCTACATCAAGTCAAAAACAAGGGGTCACATAGGGCTGTATCACAGATGGTCGCGGCTAAGGGCTCTGCGCTGCAGCCATGAATATATACAAGAGTTGCTTCAAAAGGTAAAAATATTTCAATTATGGGATGTCGGCAGCTTGGCTGAACTGGGCACAGCAGAGCGTCCAGGTAAAAGCTTCTCTTTCCACAGCCAACACCATTTCTCTCATCTCCTCTCTCTGCAAAGCAGTGAAATATTTAACCAACTCAAGCAGTTGATGTTCTCGGGCAGGGAAGGCACAACTCGCTCGCAGCCACAAAAGCCAAGAGACCCAAGATCAGCCCCCAAAGGCCCCGGCTCTCGGATCGATACGGAGTGAAAAGGCAGCAGAGAGTGTGTGCTAACTGGGTTTAGCCTACAGGGCTTCTTCAGTGTTTCTCCATAAGTGGTCAAACCACTCAGATAAGACCCAACCACACCTCATGGGGAAGTTTAACATCAATTCCACAAGCCCTGGGAAGGGCCACACTTCACCCCGCCGCACACAAACAGGATGTGTCTTCTGCTGAAAATCTGTTTTGTAATCACAATCTTGATTGCTTCACTGGTGGGGAGAGGGAAGGGGGATCAAGAAATATAAACATACACAGAAATTATACAGCTATGGATTCCAAGTTTAAATATGAACCCACAGGGATCATATTTAGAGAACGAGGACCAGCTATAACATCCCCAGCCACTTTATGTGACAAAATAAGACACCTGCAGCTGCACACTGCTTGCGAAAAATTAAAACCAGAACCATTTATCCGCCTGCCAGCACATGTTTACAAAGTAATGGGACTGCCTTTCCTTCCCCCGGCCCCAAAAAGAGAGTTATGTTTAGTATCTGTGCTTTTATTTCACAAACCCCAAGACGTGCCACAGCCTGTGCATCCCCTCCACCGCTTCACCTCCGACCGAGCACAGGTCACACCAGACACCGCGTTCATTGGGTTAATGCCACGAGAGGGACATCGGTCTGTAGCACAACTGCCAGGACAACAGATATTTAATATATAAGGCAGAATCATCAAGAAAGGATTTCCTTTGACCTGTATCGACAGCCCATTGCCCACGAGTCAGGAACAGGAGCATCCGATCTCACGAATAATATGAATAAATGAAGCATTCAAAAGAATCGGGAGTGTTTGAGCTCCAAGAGCAAAGCACCCAGTTAAACCGTGTATCTCACTCGTTCAGACATTTCACATTGAGTATTCCTGTTGTTTCTCTGTCCCTCTCTCTCACCAAGAGTACAAAATACTCAGGAGCAAGGGAAGAACAGGCCGTGTCAGTCTCTCAGATCCCCGAGCAGCTGCCGTGTCCCTGCACCCTAAGGGTGTGAGTTGACACCCAGGCTCTACAAACAGCCACGTGCCCGTATCCCGTACCCCGGCCATGCTGCTCCCATCACACTCACCCATCTGCTCCACAATTTCAGGTGGGAAAACTCGAGAAGCAAAAGCTCGTCGGAAAATATCTGAGAATTCTTTGTCAAGGCCCCCGATGCCCATTTTCTCAAAGTTCCAGTCGGGGTTGATGATGGACTGGCGGTTCTCCTTGGTCTTGGATTTACCTGCAAAAAACAAGAAATCATGTCAAACTTGCAGAATGAAAAGGGAACAGAAGTAACAACAGCAGAATGGTTCTGCCAGGTCAGACCCACGTCCAGCCAACTCCGTGTTGGGTTCAGCTCAGGCAGGAGGAGGCACCATGACAGGGCCAGGAGGGCAGTCACAGACTCTATTTTTTAGCAAACTATTTTCCCAGCCTCCCAAACACCCAGTCCAGGGATTTCTCAGGCCAGGGGTTGCTTTTGTGTATTGAAGAATACGCAGTAGATTTTTCTCTGCCACAAATTTACTTGGGTCCCCTCGGACCCAGAGCTCCCTCCAGCACCCAGCTCACCCCTCTGCCACCGGCCACACGACCACAGGCCTTCCCTGTCCCGAGCCACCTCCTGCCTCCCTTCGTGTCCCCAGCGCCTATCGCTGAGAGACAGCAGAGTGTCAGTGTCCCCTCTCTCCCAGGCCACCTGGGGTGACGTTAGGCTTGTCCTGTGTCCTCAGCCCTGCCTCTCCAGGCAGAGCAGCTCTCCCTTGTTCTTCCCCCCTCCGGCAGCAGCTCCCTCCAGCATCCCTCGTGCTCACAGAACCTTTCTCCTTCTCAGTCCTCTCTGTTTTACTACACCCTTCCACAGCCAGCCAGGCTACTGTGGGGTTTGGTCATATCTTAAACACAGGTACAAAATAACGCTCTGCTTCAGTCATATTCCTTTATTAATGTGTAATAATTCTTAACCAACCCAAGAGGCCAATGGGATCCTGGGCTGCGGAGGGAAGAGTGTGGCCAGGAGGTGGAGGGAGGTCATTCTCCCCCTCTGCTCTGCACTGGGGAGGCCACAACTGGAATCCTGTGGCCAGTGCTGGGCTCCCCAGTTCAAGAGAGACAGGGAACTGCTGGAGAGAGTCCAGTGAAGGGCAACAGAGATGATGGAGGGATTGGAACATCTCCCTGATGAGGAAAGGCTGAGAGAGCTGGGGCTCTTCACCCTGGAGAAAAGAAGGCTGAGGGGAGACCTTCTTCATGCTTCCAAGGATCTCAAGGGTGGGTGGAAGGAGGATGGAGCCGGACTCTTCTCAGGGGTTCCCAGGGACAGGACGAGGGGCAACGGGCACAAGCTGGACCATGGGAAGTTCCACTCCAATCTGAGGAAGAACTTCTTTGTGGTGAGGGTGGCAAAGCCCTGGCAGAGGCTGCCCAGGGAGGGTGTGGAGTCCCCTTCTCTGGAGATCTTCAAGCCCCACCTGGATGCTCCTGAGTGATGTGCTCTGGGCAGCCCTGCTTTGGCAGGGGAGTTGGACTGGAGGATCTCTGGATGGTTCCTTCCAACTCCAACAATTCCCTGATTCCGTGATTAACAACCCTGCACAGGGCTCAGGCTGCTACTGAGCACGGGTCCAGCATTTCCTTAATCTGGCCCAAAACACCAACCACTTTTGACCAAAGTAAAAGTGTTCTTCCTCCCATGCATCACTTTATGTTTACTTATATTGAATTTCCTCTGCCATTATACTTTAGTCACCAAGCTCCATAAGAGCCAGCTTTGTCACCTCAATTTTTTTCCAGTTTATTCAATAATCATAATGAAAAGTAAAGGCCCCAGCAGAGATTCCTGCTGGGCTCCACTGGCTATTTACTTCCATCCTTTCATCACTCATCTGCTCAAACAAGGACCTTCTCTCTTACAGAGCTCTGTTTAGTTTCTTTGCAAAGAAGCTTTGCTGAGGAATTTTGCTGGAGGAGCTCTGAACAAGCAGCAGATATTCCAGCCCCTGTCCCCTGCTTGTTGGTTCCTGTGATGAACTCCAGCAGGACCACAAGCAGGAGCTGCCAGTACAGAGGACAGGCTGACCCTTCCCACTGTCATCTCCAGACAGGGACCCATTCACTTGATCCTTTAGTACAGTTTCTGTGGATTTTTTCTGTACAGATTCCAGGTTAAAGACCTGCAGCTTCTCCAGCCGTTCTCCAGAATCCCTTTCAAACCAGACAGCACATTCACCATCTCCAGTCCTCAGACACCAGAGCAATTTTAACGGGTTACACAGAACAGTTCAGAGGTCAGCTAGTTCCTCTACTGCCCAGGAGAACAAACATCAGCCTTGGCCAACCACCACCATTCACTGGGTCTGTTTGTTCCACAACCTCTTCTAGAGCTACTTCAGGCTCAGGCAGAGCCCCCAGGCACAGGTTTCACTGTCTCCGTGCGATGGTGGAACCGCTCTCCTCTCCCTTCTGCTGACAAACCACACGAGTTTCAGTCTTACAGAGCTCCTCACTGCCTGTTCAGAG